ATAATTCAAATTAACAATATGTAAGTTAATATATAATTCAAATTAACACTATATAAGTTAATATATAATTCAAATTAACAATATGTAAGTTAATATATAATTCAAATTAACTATATGTAAGTTAATATTATTATATTATTATAATCAAAAAAGAAGCGCTAAGCCACAAGGGCTATGTAAGTTAATATACAATTCAGATTAACTCATATATATTAATAATTCAAATATTTTAACTTGCATAAATTCTCTGGTACTTCGGTTAATTTGTGCATTTTGTATATTCAGTTGACTATAAGAGGTGTTTGTTAAGTGGTGCTGGTACTCACAGTGTCTGGTACTCTCCAGGTATTATTATTATAAGAGTTGTTTAAGTGGTATTGGTACTCACAGTGTTTGGTACTCTCCAGGTATTATTATAAGAGTTGTTTAAGTGGTACTTGTACTCACAGTGTCTGGTACTCTCCAGGTATCATAATTATAAGAGTTGTTTGTTAAGTGGTGCTGGTACTCACAGTGTCTGGTACTCTCCAGGTATCATAATTATAAGAGTTGTTTGTTAAGTGGTACTGGTACTCACAGTGTCTGGTACTCTCCAGGTATCATAATTATAAGAGTTGTTTGTTAAGTGGTACTTGTACTCACAGTGTCTGGTACTCTCCAGGTATCATAATTATAAGAGTTGTTTGTAAAGTGGTACTGGTACTCAGTTTCTGGTACTCTCCAGGTATTATTATTATAAGAGTTGTTTAAGTGGTATTGGTACTCACGTTGGTACTCTCATATAGATCTGTTAAGTGGTACTTACCCAGTGTGGTACTCTCCAGGTATCATAATTATAAGAGTTGTTTGTTAAGTGGTGCTGGTACTCACAGTGTTTGGTACTCTCCAGGTATCATAATTATAAGAGTTGTTTAAGTGGTATTGGTACTCACAGTGTCTGGTACTCTCCAGGTATCATACTTGAAAATTGTAATTCATATTAGATAGTAAATAAAAATGAAATACATTACATCATTTAACATAACTGATGAACACTAATTCTAAAACACAGGCTAGAAAAATAACGTGTCAAAACATAGGCTAGAAAAATAACGTGTCAAAACATAGGCTAGAAAAATAACGTGTCAAAACATAGGCTAGAAAAATAACGTGTCAAAACACAGGCTAGAAAAATAACGTGTCAAAACACAGGCTAGAAAAATAACGTGTCAAAACATAGGCTAGAAAAATAACGTGTCAAAACACAGGCTAGAAAAATAACGTGTCAAAACACAGGCTAGAAAAATAACGTATCAAAACATAGGCTAGAAAAATAACGTATCAAAACACAGGCTAGAAAAATAACGTATCAAAACACAGGCTAGAAAAATAACGTATCAAAACACAGGCCAGAAAAATAACGTATCAAAACACAGGCTAGAAAAATAACGTGTCAAAACACAGGCTAGAAAAATAACGTATCAAAACATAGGCTAGAAAAATAACGTATCAAAACACAGGCTAGAAAAATAACGTGTCAAAACACAGGCTAGAAAAATAACGTATCAAAACACAGGCCAGAAAAATAACGTATCAAAACACAGGCTAGAAAAATAACGTGTCAAAACACAGGCTAGAAAAATAACGTATCAAAACACAGGCCAGAAAAATAACGTATCAAAACACAGGCTAGAAAAATAACGTGTCAAAACACAGGCTAGAAAAATAACGTATCAAAACACAGGCCAGAAAAATAACGTATCAAAGCACAGGCTAGAAAAATAACGTGTCAAAACACAGGCTAGAAAAATAACGTATCAAAGCACAGGCTAGAAAAATAACGTGTCAAAACACAGGCTAGAAAAATAACATATCGAAGCACAGGCTAGAAAAATAACGTATCAAAGCATAGGCTAGAAAAATAACGTATCAAAGCACAGGATAGGAAAATAACGTGTCAAAGCACAGGCTAGAAAAATAACGGATCAAAACATAGGCTAGAAAAATAACGTGTAAAACACAGGCTAGAAAAATAACGTGTAAAACACAGGCTAGAAAAATAACGTATCAAAACATAGACTAGAAAAATAACGTGTAAAAGCATAGGCTTGAAAAGTAACGAATCAAAACACAGGCTAGAAAAATAAAATATCGAAACATAGGCTAGAAAAATAACGTATGAAAATACAGGCTAGAAAAATAACGTATGAAAACACAGGCTAGAAAAATAATGCATGAAAATATAGGCTAGAAAAATAACATATCAAAACATAGGCTAGAAAAATAACGTATCAAAATACAGGCTAGAATAATAACGTATCAAAACATAGGCTAGAAAAATAACGTATCAACAGAGAGGAGTAAATGATATTAAAAGCGTTCTAGGAGAGATCAAAGGGAATTACTCTTATTTTGAAAACATGGATAAATAAGTATGGGTAATTTAGTACTGTTCTGGAGGGAAGTGTTGTTTAATCGCTCACACACACGCACCCCCACCAAGTGCAAAGTCATGAAGGTTGTTGAAGGACAAAGAAAACCGCAGACGGAGTACATGCTCGGGATTCAAAGACTGGAAACCTCACTCAAGGAAAACGATCTTGGGGTGAGCATCATACCGAGCACATCCCCTGAGGCCACATGTGGGTGCCTGGCAAACCTAAGAATAGCATTTCCACATATACGTTAGGAGTCATTCGCGACACTGTACACCGTGTACGTCAGGCCCATATTGAAGTATAAGGCACCAGTATGGAACCCACACCTGGTCAAAAATATCAAGATATTACAGAAAGTGCAAAGGCAATAAGACTAGTCCCGAAAAGAGTAAGGCGTAGGAAGAAATGTTAAGGGAACTCAACCTGACGACACTGGAGGACCGGAGGGATAGGGGGAACATGACAAAGACGTATAAAATACTGAGAGGAATTGACAAGGTGGACAGAGACAAAATGTTACAGAGATTGACTCAGATAAATCCTAAGGATTTTAAGAAGTGTTTCTTAAGCTTTAGCACTGTTAGGAAGTGAAACAATCTGGAGAGTGATGTAGCAGAGGCAGGATCCAAACAGTTTTCAGAGGATATATGATAAAGCTCTTGGAGCAGGGAGAGAGTGAACCTAGTAGCGACCAGTGAAGAGGCGGGCCATGAGCAGTGAATCGAACCCTACGGACACATATAGGTGAACACACTCCTGAAGCGTACGTTAGGCCCATATTGGAGTATGCGGCACCAGTTTGGAACCCACACCTAGCGAAGCATGTAAATAACTAGAGAAAGTGCAGAGGTTTGCAACAAGACTAGTCTCAGAGCTAAGAGGTATGTCCTACGAGGAGAGGTTAAGGGAAATCAACCTGACGACACTGGAGGACAGGAGAGATACGGGGACATGTTAACAATATACAAAATACTGAGAATTGACAAGGTGGACAAAGACAGGATGTTCAAGAGATGGGACACGGCAACAAGGGGACACAGTTGGAAGTTGAAGACACAGATGAATCACAGGGATGTTAGGAAGTATTTCTTCAGCCACAGAGTAGCTAGGAAGTGGAATAGTTTGGAAAGCGATGTAGTGGAGGCAGGATCCATACATAGCTTTAAGCAGAGGTATGATAAAGCTCACAGCTCAGGGAGAGTGACCTAGTAGCGACCAGTGAAGACAGGTGGATACGCGCGCACTCCTGTTCTTGCCTCTCCTCGTCCATCCCCTCTCCCTCCACTTCTCTCTTTCTGTTGTTAGGTAAGACACATATGCAACAGTTAGGTATCTTTATTTCGAAACGTTTCGCCTACACAGTAGGCTTCTTCAGTCGAGTACAGAAAAGTTGATAGAAGCAGAAGATACTTACTTGAAGACGATGTAATCAGTCCATCACACTTGAAGTTTTGAGGTGGTCAGTCCCTCAGTCTGGAGAAGAGTATTGTTCCATAGTCTGAAACATATTGTTTCAGACTATGGAACAATACTCTTCTCCAGACTGAGGGACTGACCACCTCAAAACTTCAAGGGTGATTGACTGATTGCATCGTCTTCAAGTATCTTCTGCTTCTATCAACTTTTCTGTACTCGACTGAAGAAGCCTACTGAGTAGGCGAAACGTTTCGAAATAAAGATACCTAGGTGTTGCATATGTGTCTTACCTAACAACCTGTCGGTATTTTATACCATTTTAATGTTCATTCTCTCTTTCTTTCCCTCTCACGCACTTCACAACACATTAGCTCCCAGCATTCTCTCCAACAAGTACTTTCTTCATCTTAGATCTTCTCCTTGCAATCTGCAACTCTGTTATTTCTTCCAGTGTTTTTCCTCGAGTCTCTGGAACGGTGGCAACCACAAGAACAGCGAGGAAGACGCTAAATCCAGAAGAAATCCAAAACGCCCCGTAACTTCCAAACGCTGTCAGTATGTAAGGGAACGACTGTAAGGCTGTGAATGCCCCAATGAAAAATAATGTGTATAAAATTGGTACAACAGTAGAACGAACAGAACTGGGAAACAGTTCACTTCTAAGTAAATTTACAGTTGGGGATAGAGTGAAAAACGAGTAGACTGCCAAACAGACGACTGGTAGCCAGTTTTGATCATGGAAACTTCTGTCGTGATCTTGATCAAAGAAGTATATACCAAGTCCAATCATACATAAGCTACATACAATGCAAGTCATTGCAAATAATGGTTTGCGATCGATGCGGTCAATTATACATATATAAAAGAACACTCCTACAACCCGAATAATTCCTGTTATAACTGCGCACAAATATGAACTTATGCTAATATCTGCGTTATTTATAATGACTACAATGTATGTTGGTACCACCATTATTCCATTGAAGTGCATGAAAAAAAGAACTACAGACATGATAATAAGATATCTTAATATTAATGGGTTTCTAATTTGTCGCAACTGGTCTAATATATTACCACCGCCATTAGTTGTTTTCTCAAGCTCATCTCTGATGTCTTCCATTTCTTTGTGGACATCATAGTTTGGTCCCCGAAAGAAGATCAAGGATTTGTGAGCTCTGTCAGTGTAGCCTTGTGTGGCCAGCCAGCGAGGGGAGTTAGGTAAAATAAGCAGACAAACAAAAGGAATTACAGTGTTTGACAAAACCACATGTTAATGCTACTTTCCGCCAAGTCAGGTTTGAACTGCCCAGAGCATATGCCACAAGAATGCCCATCTGACGCGAGAGATCAAGAGTCGACATTAGTCGCCCTCTTATTGTACTGTGTGAAAGCTCTGCCACGTAAGTCGAGGAGGAATTAAATATGGAGCTCATCGTGATGCCTTGGAAGAAGCGAACTAGCAGGACGACCCAGTTTGTGGGTGCTGTAGCCAAGATAATCCAGCTGGCGAGGGATATGGGAAGAGATAACAAGAGTGTCACTCTCTGGCCCAACCTCACCATCGGTACACTGACAGTCAATGACCCCAGCAAGGCACCCACAAACATCAGGCTGCCTGAAATAAATAAAACACACTAAGTTTTTGGTCTGTCTAAAAATAATATATTTAGGGTTAAGTTCGACAAAAATAAGTACATGTTACAATTTTTTATCGTAGAGTTTGAAACGGAAAAATATTTTTCACTAATCTTCATTGCACTGAAGTTCATGAGGAAAATACTCAAAAATATTTGTTAATACATACGAATATGACTGTTCATTACACCATCGTGAGTACGAAGAGTACAAGCAGTGAAAATAACTATTACATCATTGAACCATAACACCATCAGTCTGATGAATAAGATACTCATGTAGCATCTTGGTATCATTACTAACATGAATAAGATACTCGTGCAGCGCCATGGTATCTTTATTGATATTATGAATAAGATACTCATGCATCACCTTTCGTAGAAAACTAAGTTAGCTTGATTCCGCTATTCCTAAGTCTTGAGGAGGGTAGTTGGAAGAGTGGAAAGACGTAAAAGAGAAGGTAACATCTGTCACACTTCCACTACCAACACTTAATAATTATTCTAATTGAGTGAAGAACCTCACTAGGTTAATATGCAACCTTATTGCATAAGTACCTAAGTTAAATTAGAGTTAAATGTAGATTAATTAGCCTAGTATTTCAATAACGTGACTTATACATCGACAGTGTCAGTAGTGTTTCTGTGTATTGTGTAGTATATTTAGATACATCCCAGCTACTTTATAATTAGGGTCCCTTCTTGCTGTGACGTCACGAGACCCATCATGTGTGAGTGGTAAATCAGAGGCCCAGCTCTCAGTCACACAGCTCAAGGCTAGGCTGAGGCTTGACGGTAGGCCTGACTCCTAATTATACGCCTCCAAGACATCCTGAGGTGTATTTCTTACTGCAATATGTTCTGACGAACCCCCATGACAAATGGTGACAGCGGTGCGAGTGTGATTGTGATGATTACGTGTATATGAAGAGATTGTTCTACCAAGCCAGTGTGTAACTGTGTGAGAGACCCTGATGACGCTAAGCTATAGCCAAGCCAGCATCCTCCAGCCTTGTCTACAGAACTTCAATGGTATGAAGCAGAATGACAGTACCACTACAAGAATTGAGGGAATGACGTTTTTCAATAGTTACAGGAATACTATCGATAATTGTAAGGAGAGACAGATCGTGAGCTTGGTTAGCATTATAAAAAGTGATGAAGGATGTATCTCTATCAACATGGCGTAGGAGCGCCTTGCCAGTACTATGGTCGGAAAGACAGGCAGTAGATCGTTAGGTAAGACACATATGCAACAGTTAGGTATCTTTATTTCGAAACGTTTCGCCTACACAGTAGGCTTCTTCAGTCGAGTACAGAAAAGTTGATAGAAGTAGAAGATACTTGAAGACGATGTAATCAGTCCATCACCCTTAAAGTTTTGAGGTGGTCAGTCCCTCAGTCTGGAGAAGAGCATTGTTCCGTTGTCTGAAACAATATGAAGTTGAAGTGACAGAATGGGGCCTTATATAGTGCCAGGAGGTGAGACGTAGGTTGCTTTGGGAGGGCAGGTCCCTCTCAAACGGCTGGGTTTGAGAGGGACCTGCCCTCCCTAAGCAACCTACGTCTCACCTCCTGGCACTATATAAGGCCCCATTCTGTCACTTCAACTTCATATTGTTTCAGACAACGGAACAATGCTCTTCTCCAGACTGAGGGACTGACCACCTCAAAACTTTAAGGGTGATGGACTGATTACATCGTCTTCAAGTATCTTCTACTTCTATCAACTTTTCTGTACTCGACTGAAGAAGCCTACTGTGTAGGCGAAACGTTTCGAAATAAAGATACCTAACTGTTGCATATGTGTCTTACCTAACAATCTGTCGGTATTTCATACCATTTTAATGTTCATTCTGTCAGACACTGCAACACAAGGGTATCTTGGTACAGAACATCAACTTCGACAACCTCTACTAGTGAGAACGGCTGGGTTTGAGAGGGACCTGCCCTCCCAAAGCAACCTACGTCTCACCTCCTGGCACTATATAAGGCCCCATTCTGTCACTTCAACTTCATACTGTTTCAGACAACGGAACAATGCTCTTCTCCAGACTGAGGGACTGACCACCTCAAAACTTTAAGGGTGATGGACTGATTACATCGTCTTCAAGTATCTTCTACTTCTATCAACTTTTCTGTACTCGACTGAAGAAGCCTACTGTGTAGGCGAAACGTTTCGAAATAAAGATACCTAACTGTTGCATATGTGTCTTACCTAACAATCTGTCGGTATTTTATACCATTTTAATGTTCATTCTGTCAGACACTGCAACACAAGGGTATCTTGGTACAGAACATCAACTTCGACAACCTCTACTAGTGAGAACGGCTGGGTTTGAGAGGGACCTGCCCTCCCAAAGCAACCTACGTCTCACCTCCTGGCACTATATAAGGCCCCATTCTGTCACTTCAACTTCATATTGTTTCAGACAACGGAACAATGCTCTTCTCCAGACTGAGGGACTGACCACCTCAAAACTTTAAGGGTGATGGACTGATTACATCTTCTTCAAGTATCTTCTACTTCTATCAACTTTTCTGTACTCGACTGAAGACGCCTACTGTGTAGGCGAAACGTTTCGAAATAAAGATACCTAACTGTTGCATATGTGTCTTACCTAACAATCTGTCGGTATTTTATACCATTTTAATGTTCACAGGCAGTAGAGGAAGTCGGTCGTAGAGTAAAAAACTTCATTGTGTATTTTGAAACACAGTGTGCAAAGGGAGTGCGTGACGTTTACCTGGAGTTTACTTGGAGAGGGTTTTGGGGGTCAACGCCCCAGCGGCTCGGTCTGAGACCAGGCCTCGTGGTGGATCAGTACCTGATCAACCAGGCTGTTGCTGCTGGCTGCAAGCAAACTGACTTTAGGTGTCTGTCCAGTGCCTTCTTGAAAACAGTCAGGGGTCTATTGGTAATCCCCCTTATGTATGCCGGGAGGCAGTTGAACAGTTTTGGCCCCAGACACTTATTGTGTTGTCTCTCAGTATACTTGTGGCGCCCTGCTTTTCACTGGGGGATTGTTGCATCGTCTGCCGAGTCTTTTGCTTTCATAGGGAGTGATATTCGTGTGCAAGTTTGGTACTAATCTCTTTAGGATTTTCCAAGTGTATAATATAATGTATCTATTTCACCTGTTATCCAGGGAATACAGATCAAGGGCCTTCAACAGTTCCCAGTAAAGTTCTTTGTACACTCTCCAGGTCAGCAATTTTCCCTGCCTTGAAGGAAGCAGTTAATGTACAGCAGTGTTTCAGCCTAGAGAGAACAAGCGATTTGAAGAGAATAATCATGGGCTTGGCATCCCCAGTTTTGAAGGTTCTCATTATCCATCTTATCATTTTCCTAGCAGGTGGGGAACATTCATTGTTGTGGTCTTTGAAGGAGAGTTCTTCTGACATTATCACTCTCAGGTCCTTCACATTACTTTTTTGCTCTACTGTATGGTTAGAATTTGTCCTATACCCTGATACAGTTTTAATTACCTCAAGTTTTCCATATCTGAGAAGTTGAAATTTCTCTTCATTGAACTTCATATTGTTCCGAGTGGCCCATTTGAAGATTTGGTTTATGTCCGGTTGGAGTCTTGTGGTATCTTCGATGGAGGTCACTGTCATGGCAATCCGGATGTCATCCTTTGCGGATGACACCCAGATGAGGAATAGAATGGGAGCAAGTACTGTACCTTGTGGAACAGAGCTTTTCACCGTAGCTGCCTCTGACTGTATTCTGTTTACTATTACACTTTGTGTTCTATTTGTCAGGAAGCTATAGATCCATGTACCAACTTTTCCTGTTATTCCTTTATCACGCATTTTGTGTGCTATTACACCATGGTCACACATGTTGAAAGTTTTTGCAAAGTCTGTTAATACTACATCTGTATTTTGTTTATCCTCTACAACATCCAGGACCTTCTCATAGTGGTCCAGTAGCTGGGACAGGCAGGAGCGACCTGCTCTAAACCCATGTTACCATTGGTTGTGTAACTGATGGATATCTAGGTCGTTGGCGATCTTGCTTCTTAGAACCCTTTCAAAGATTTTTATGATATGGGATGTTAGTGCTATCAGTCTGTAGTTCTTTAAATTGCTTTACTGCCATCTTCGTAGACCGGGGCTATGTTTGTTGCTTCTGGTGAGTTTTGGATGACCCCTGTGTCCATGCTCCCTCTCCATAGAATGCTGAAGGCACATGACAAGGGCTTCTTGCAGGTCTTGATGAACAAGGGGTTCAATGAGTCTGGGCTGGTCTGTTCTGAGTAGAATGAGAAGGAAGTGGTCTTGGGCATTTAGGTGTGGAACCAGAGTTTGGCTAGCCAGAAATTGCCGCACTGTAGAGGGAGAAGCCGGAAGCATAGTCAAAGAAGAACTGAGGTCAGATGTATCGAAGGAATCAGTCGAAACCCTGGTCCCTGGAGCAGGTGTCGAAACGGCACTAGGAAGTAAAGGGGCATTAGAAATGTCCAAATAGTTGTCAAATAACGAGGCAGGGTCAGAACAGGGTGTGGTATCAGGAAGGGGCCCGGGGGTAAGCAGGTTCATGGATTGGGAACTCTATGGAAAGAAGAAAGAAATAAAAAAATATGAATTAAAAAAAAGGGGGGGGGGAATGGGGAAGAATAGCTCCTAGGAGAAATGAAATGGCCGTACATTTCCCTCCACACCCAATAATTATTATCATCAAAAAGAAGCGCTAAGCCACAAGGGCTATACAGCGCTGCAGGGTAGGGAAGGAAGCGAGGGTATTGGGCGGCAGAAGGTAGGAGGGATGATCAGTAGGTTACAGAAAACAGCGGGGAAGGGGATAGTATGGGGGTAGAGGGTAGCAAGAGATTGAGATAGAAAGGGCTGAAGGTATCAGAATTTGTGAAGTAAGTCAGTTGTTGTCAAAAAGTCAATGAGAGAGTCTGGATGAAAGGTGGGTCCATCAGCGAGAAGGGAAGGTAAAGAGAGAGCAGTGGAGGGAAGACGACGG